CGCACGCGGATCACCACCTTCCCGATGTGCTTGCCCGCCGCCATGTGCCTGCAAGGGATGCAGAGTTTTTGCATTGAAGTTTTTGCAGAGTTTTTGCAACTTGTCAACACATTTTCCATCTCGCGCTCCTTCGGTGTGTACGACATTCCATTTGTACAATATTAGTTGTGTTTGTGTTTAAAACCCAATAGTTGTGTTTATGTTTATGTTTATTTATTATTTATACGATCAAATTTCTACTATTTAATACTATTTGGGTCTTAATTATCTGAATACATAATGTTAAGAAATGTTATTTTACAGCTATTCTATCAAATATCTAGTTTATAGTTGCTATCACTGAATGTGATGAACATTCTTTATATTTTATTTTTTTCAACACCACAAAAACCATGCTAACTCACTATAAGGAGCTTTGCACCAAATCAACTGGAAAGGATTGCACTTTTTTTTAATTACAGTATATTACTTCCTGATCATTACGGAAACTGAAGATATTATTGCACTAATGCTTTCTGATATGTTGCTTCTGTTGACAAGTGTGCACCATTTAGAATTTGATTGGGAACTGTGATTGTAAAGGATGACTCACCTCATCGCTGTCTCAACTTGGTCGCGGGAGAAAACCTCCGTCTGCACAGGTCGCACAATTCCGCTCTTTACCAATTCACCTACGCGTGCGCACAGCTCTTTGACTCGGGGCGTGTCCTGCTCCATGAGCACCTCGTCCAAGAGAATACCGTGAACGCTCGCCTGCCGCAGAAGCAGCCGCATCCCTGCGAATTGTCGCAAAGCGCATTGCAATTTCATTAGCAGGCACCAGAATTGAAATAAACTGCTCGACCAATAACAGCCAACAAGAAACAAGCTAGTGATAGTGGAACATAAAGAAAATGGCAAAACTGTAATTGGGCGCCGTGAGGATAAGGTTGTCGGGTCACGTAGACACAGGGGGTGCAGTGCAGAAGCGCAACGTGCTGACGACTCGCTGCTGACGAGAATCGACTACAGTCATCAGGAACAGGCTGGGACCCTTCCTGACACGCAGTGGCTTTGCACAAATTTGATAAACGTCCCGCACATCGGCACGAATGTCATGGGCCCCGAGTTCATATAACCCCCATGGCTCCTTAGGAACCTTCCAAACAACCGACTTCAAATCAACATGACGGCTGTAATTGTCGCCGCCATGCCAGATGAGCGCAGTGCAGCATCAGAGTAGAGAATGAGTACATTACGTATAACCTTCTTAGGGCCTTCAGATCCAATTATATGGCCTTATTATACCTAATATTATAATAAATAAGGTAAGTGTATGCCTTTCAAGTGAATGCCAAGGCAAATGATCATTCACCTTGGTTGTAGATCTCACCCCTCTCATACGCGTGTAGTTCAGTTCCCCATTAATTGGGTAACTATTAACCAGTTTCTGGCAGCGATCGCCTTGTAAGGGCTACTTGAGCCATAAACTTCTTGACTTTAAACACAAATTTATCTTAGTGTTAAAAAGTTATCCAGTTGCTTATCTTCAGCGGTTGAGAAGAGTTCTGCTTAATAAATATTTGTGACAATGCAAATAGGGTGGTTGACCTGCTGATCGTTTACCTCAGAAATTTAGGTAGTACTCAACTGATAAAAAAACCACTTATGCAATTGACGAATTAGGCTATTTAATGGATGTAACCGGCAGGCACTAAAAAGATCCTTTTGACTCACCGATGGGCTGATTGTTCATCATGTCGAACCGATACTCCGATCTCGAGGAAGCGTCCCACGGCGCCAGGCAAGCAGCAGAGACGCCTGCAGGACTTGTTCGTCCGCCGCAAAGCTTTGAGCACGAGGTCGAGGCCGCTGGCCGCCCGTCGCGCCGCGAAGCACAGCGGCTCGAAGGAGAAAGGTCGACGCCGAGCTTGCCCGATGTGTCGGCCGCCTCATGCTGCGCGCAAGCCGTATCGCGTGCGTCAACTGAGAGGTCCGCGCCGCGCCGCGCCGCGGCAAAGAGAGGCGAGATAAGCGTGAGGAAGGGACGTGCGAAGGTACCTGCGGGTAAGCCGCCAGCAGGAAGTCCTTCTTCTGCTGGTGCGCGGTGCGAAGACGCGGCAGCCGGCGACGCCAAGCGCCAGGGGTGAGCGTGAGCGCCGCCTGTCCGACGGCGCCGCTGGCCGCGTGCACCAGCACGCTCTCGCCCGCCGCCATGCGGCCCACCATCTCCAGTGCGTACACCACCTGCACACCCACCAAGCCATAGTCCGGGAGATACGCCTCAAATTCAACTGACTTCGAAGTTGAAAAGGTATACTTTTTGTGAAGTGTAACCCATTAAAAATGATTTTACTTGATTTATTTTTAAAATGAACTTACAGAATCCGTGAAATGGAAGTAGAGGAAAAGGAACCAATGTCAGGTTCGATTCATTTATAAATGTGTTTAACGTATCATATGCTATTTTAATAAATATTTATAAATGTGCTTAACGTATCATATCCTATTAAAAAGTAGTAGTTTCTGAGTATGAACATTCATCTAAATTCCGAAATATCCGAAAAAGTACATAGTCCTCTTTATTACTTCATTCTTTGTTTTTATGTAAAATATTATAGTTTTATAGGACTAAATGGATCTTTGCAGGAAAATGTTTAAATTGCTTGAATATAAGGTTTCGTTAAGTGACAATGATTACAGTTCACAACAAATATGTCTCAGTGTGTTTAATAAATAAAAAAAACACAAACATTTGTACTCAGTCATTGTTTTGAAAGTATTCTGTTTCGAAATGGGATTTGCTGGAAAGGCACATTCATAGCAGAAGAACAAGATATGAGTCAATTTTCTTCGATGTTATTGAAAAATCGTGGATAGAAATTTTTAGAATTTGTTGAAGGCGAGGAAATAGTTATTTGAATTATTTCCTTTTGCGTATCTTACCGTTCCGTAGGCAACAGGTATTGTGGAAGCTTCAAGGAGAGTCATTTCATCAGGAACATCCCATAAGAGATAATCAGGTGCCATTATCTCCGTAGACACGCAACCTCCCATCCTCATTCCCATGACTCGGCGGCCGCTCGAGAGTCGACCAGAGAATTCAAAGCCAACTACAGCGTCCTGGACGAAGAAAGCCAAATAAATGTATTAAAAACAAAACATTAAGATACATGAAAATCAAATCCTACCCTGGAAACTCTGTAAATAAACTATTATTACTAGTGTTGTCGTCTTCCAAAAATCTTTCACAGGTCATTCAATTGACTGGGGAAGCTTAAGGAATTATCTTTAGTAGTGATTATATAACCTTTTAGTTTTATATTTAAAAATATATTACTTTAACAAAAACATACTTACTTATAGAACATACATCTATTTACTGAAATTGAATTACATTTATTATAAAACAAATGTTAATACATTGTATCAATTTAAAGAAGCAAATTTCTAATAACTTATATCCATGACGCCTACAAAGAAAGCGTCAATTATAATAAGTAATGGAGAAATATTACCGGGTCGCCACAGGGCAACACATCTGCGTCCAACTTGGCGGAAGCGAGCATCACATCGCGGAAGTTCAACGCAGCGTAGTGCACGTGCACCAGCACGTGGCCAGCCGGTAC